AGCGGTTGACGTTATTACCAAAAACGATTAAGTCTTTCCAAACCTTGTTGCTCAAATTCTGACACAGAGGTTCTGTATTACAAAAGCTTCTGCCAGCATACGCTATTCACATGAGGGCCTGCTAAATTAAAGCTTTTTCTCCAGCTGGTTTTCAGAATCCATAGCCAGCTACCACAATTTCTCATGTGCACTGGCAGGAGAAAATTTGTAGTGTGAGAAGAGCTCCAGGGGGATCTGCTGGAGCTCACAGCTTTCATTGTCTCAGAAGGCATTCTACATACCAAGCTTGTAAAAACAAAAATAAGAGGTAAAAGATGTACAGTAAATGTAGGAAAATGCTGTGTTACAGACAATAGAAACATTCTCTTATCTCTCAAGTAGGACAATTTAATCATCCAATAATGGGCAAACAGATTTTTTTTCCTAATAAATTATTTCAAAACTACTCCCTCTTCTCCATTGTTGGCTATACTACCTGAGATGGTACATTTACTGTGCTACTCATGATTGTTATAGAAGACACCTTGAGCATGTGAGATTACTTACTAGCAAGCTCCAGAAAAAACTACCTCAGTTGCTTCCTTATCTCACCCAAGAGGCAGGGGAAAAGCTCTCAGTTAAGGTCTCACTGTACGTGTGGTATTAGCACATAAAAGCTTTCCAGTCTCTGCTGTGCTTTCTGTAGCTGCTGATGCCATGGAAGACACAACCTCTTACTGCTGTTCTAGACATAGATGTGTGAAGGCTCATAAGAAGCACTGAACATCTCAAATATGAGTTAATGTGTCTGACTTTTCTGGAGATGCTTGTGCAGCAATCAGAGGACCTGTGGAGAATTACTTCAGAGGAATGGAGGCTTATGTAGAAAATAATTCATTTTGACTGAATTTGGCCAAAGATGCTTTCTTATTGTGAGCTTTGGCATTAACTCAGCGCAAGGGAATTGTTAATTTTTTTCTCTTGGTCCTAATCAAAATTACTAGCTGTTTTAAATAAACCACGATATATTTCTTGGTTGAAAGTTATTACAAAACATGGTTATCACAAGGTCACAACTTTGTTATCATTAAGTGCAGTTTTATCTGCACTAATATTAATTTATGTAAGAAAGCTATCCCTATTTCTTATTTTTATCAAATAGATTAAATCCCAAGAGTAGCTGCACTCTGATATAATGTGAGCTTTCCAGAGATTAGTGTAGGAACAAGGTCATATCCTCTTTTTTAAATTACATTGTTATTCATTCCTGCAATGCAGGAAAAAGTTAAAATTCTTATCAGCTAAAATCCATGCTTAAGAAATCAGAATAATCAAAAGCAGGGGAAAAGTCTTTGATAACTATTTTTCAAAGGAAACTGGCTGCGTTATCAGTGCAGTAGACTGAGTTACGAGCTAGGGCACTGTGATGGCAGGGGAAAGCTGCTTATGAGATGCTTCTTTAATTTGACTCTCTCATTTTCTGTTTGCTTTTAAAACTTAGGGGCACAGTTACCAAATACCTTGTGATCTTTAGCTGTAATGAAATAAAACTGTATAATATCACTGGAATGCAGGCACTTGCTGAGTTAATCCTGTACCCACAGGAGCTGTGCTCTATTTTCTCCATTGGGCAGCTTTTAAACCCTTTGAAAGACAATGGGAAGGAAAGACTTTAGGTAGAGAAAATGCCAATGTCCTGTTCTTGAAATATTTGATTCCTTTGTATCTAGCTTGTATCCTGAAACTTGTCCATTGACGTGTCTGTCAGCATGTTCACCCCATGGATGTCAAGACTCTAAGGCAGAGTCTACAGGCATGTAGACTCTGTGGCGTGTAGGTTGCTGGGAGCTAGACCTCATGTGCCCTGACTCTGGAGCTGGATTTAGGGCTTGGATGCAGCTCCATCCAAAAGCAGCTATTCAACTTCATGACCAAGCTGCTAAGCTGGAGAAATGGCTGCATTGCATCCCATGTGCTGCACGAAAAAGTAACCATTAGCACAGCTGTATGTACAGCGTGGTCCCTGTGCTGCAAGGCTGCTGTCCACGTGATTGTTTTGTGAGTCGTTTCTACGGGCGTGTCTTGTCTGGTATGATACACCAGCTATGCTTGGGCTTGCCCAAATTCTGGGGGACATCTGAGTCAGATTACTTTTGGCTCAGGGAGCTGAGTGTAATGGTCTAAACATGTCCAAAGATGTGTATTGCAAACCACAGATTTGCATTAATAGGCAGGTTTTTTGTGTCTGTCTTGTAAACGTACAGCTGCTTGGATTTCTAACTATGTTACAGTAATGCCATGGTCACTGTTACAGCAGAGTAGAGTGGTATAAAGATCTGTTGCAATAGCTTCCATGAGAGATGCAGATGGCACATTAGACGTAATTGCTAGGAATAAATTACATAAAAGCTCAAATTTTGAAGCTGTCTAGAGATACAAGAAGTTTGTGATGAAAGGGAAATTAAGGGCGTCCTGAAGCGTGGTAAACTCGATTGCTACGCACACGCACCATTATTGAAGGGCATTGTAGCTTAGAGTTGCTATGTTGGTATCAAATTGTCACTATTGTAAAAATCGATCAAACTTTTATCATATAATAGTTCCTTTATGTTTTTATTTCAGATGTTGATGAATGCCTTCAAGACAGTGATATTTGCCTTAGAGGAAAATGCATCAATACTGATGGGTCTTACAAATGCACTTGTCCAGAAGGTTTCCAGCAGATAGCAAATAGGGGATGTCAAGGTATGAAACAGCTATAAAAAAACACCTGGGTCATTATGACAAATGTGCAAGTTTGTAAGCATAACTTGTGATAATAACAGATCAAGTCAGGGAAAAGAAACTTATTTATCATTTGTAGTACTTTCTTACTCTTCTCATTTTATATTGCTTGCTGTAAACACATGCTGAGAAATTATTTCAGGAGGCTGAAATTTCAGCCTTCATAACTTGAGGGAGAACTTATATTAAAACTACCAGAGATAAAGTGCTGCATTTCCCCAAATCCTGGGAACATTTGTTTTAACAAAACCTTCTATGCTTCCGGATCAGTAATATAACAGGAAGAGTGGTCTAGTTAGCATCAAGTCCCATTAGATAAACCTCTCTCACCTCTAAAACACTTGCAGTGCTTCATGGAGGATGGATGGGGAGGAAGAATATGCATTATCTGTGGCTGAGTCAGCATTGCCAAACGCAGAAAAATTCTTTCTAGGTTTTAGTTCTGAATGATCCCAACTCCATATTGGCATATCTCCCAGGCATGTCTCAGAACTTCCTTTTGCCATCTGTTTTTATGAGGTGAGAACCGTGGTATTAGAGAGCTATTGAATTAAACTGGCAAATTTATCACAGAATGCAGTGTCTGTAAGTGGAATCTGAACTAGACTAGAAGTTAGGAGCATGCGTTTTGGTAAGGAGCAAAGTTGAAAAGATTCCAAACCATTAGTAAGTGTGCAGTTTGCCTGTTCAGATGAACTCTGCTCTGTTTCCCTAACACTATTAATCTTGTCTTTCTGTCTTTTAATACATCATTCTACCTTGCATAATCAGCTGGTTTGGTTTCCAGTGTTTGTCTGGCTGTTTTAAGAAACTATCAGCTTAGTCTTAAGAACAGTGTGGTTCCTGAGAAGGGACCATACTGTCCTCATTGCTGACTTCCCACTTCACCTGACTTCGGAGCACTTCGGGAAGTCTATCATTGATTTGGGTTTACTTAATATAAATTCAGAGAAAACTTTCTACATGTAGGTGTTGTGTGAAGCATAGCACACCGACTGTTCCCTGTGCACCTCATACTACCCTTCTCCATGCTGCCCCTGTTCTTTCCATGTGTGTGCCCTGACTTCAGGACACTGGCCTAGAAGGTTTACACATGGGACAGAATCAGTCTGTATCTAAAGAAAATTCTGTAATGTGTGTCGTGGATCTTGGAAATGATAGTATTGAAACCATAATTTCACTAGTCTATCCAAATTACTGTCTACTTTGATGCATTTTGTATGGTTGTAACAATGGCCAGAATTGAAGCAACTAAAGACACAGTTAGGAATAGGGAATTGTAGTATGTGATGATGGATGAATGAGCCACACGTGTAAGTTTTGTTTGTGAATTTGTGTTTGATCACAGCATGGTACTGAAAGCCTCTTAAAAGGCTTTGTAAAGCAAGATACAAAAGTGTAATTACAATTCGAAAGGTAATTCATGTGAAAGCAGTACCTCGATAATGAATGCATGCAGCCCTTAAGTTCTGATGGCAGATTTCATTGTTGAGACATCAATCAGAAAGAAATGCTTATTTTTCAGATTCACAAGTTTGAAGGGCAATATTTGAAAAATGCTTTCTAAATTAAAAAAAAAAAAAAGGCAATGACAACAGACACTCATATAGCCACCTGTTGGGACTGTTCCCACTCCCAATCAGCAAAAAAGCATTTGGCTTTACATTACATAAAATCAGCTTGCTGGAAAAACGCAACTCTAGACCTGCTGGTAACACATGAAGACAGATACACAAGTTGACCAGCATGCAACAATCAAAAAACAGTGTGGTGGAGCTGTTTCAGAATTCCCTGATCACAGAAGAAATCTTGGCTGCTGTGGAGCTTATACTGATAGGTCACATATCACTCTCGTTTGCTCATCATTGTTGCAGAGTGATACAATGAGAGTGTGATGTAGCAGAACATACTGATGCTTACACAGAGTTTAAGAATGATCCAAAAAGGTTTGGTTGTTCTGAAGAAGGAGCCCCATTTACTTAGCTCTTGACATAGCTGGTGGAAATAAAAGTTATTAAAAAAATAGAAAGGAAATTGGAAAAATTTAAAAATGGAAAATAAAAGTGGAATTTTTTTTTTTCTTGACATAGCTGGTGGAAATAAAAGCTACTATTCTATGAGTCATAAAAGTGTCTAAGACTAATATGATTAATACTAAGAGTATGATGATTTGCAAAGCTAATGTCTCTTTGTTTTCAGATATCAATGAATGTGAACGATCTGACCTCTGTTCTCCTCATGGGGAGTGTTTAAACACGGATGGTTCCTACCAGTGCATATGTGAGCGGGGCTTTTCTGTGTCTGCTAACGGCCGAACATGTGAAGGTAGGACAAGTTACAGTAATGCCTTCCCATTGATTGATGTTATTAGTTGGGTGAGAAAAGTAGTCAGTTTGGGCCAAATACCCCAAAACCGCTATTAACTCTGCAATCTGCCATCTAAGGGATCTTTCTTCTTTTTCTGTTGAACACACCATGTGCTATGTTGTTCTCTGAATCACAGGAAAAGTACAAAACGGGCAACAAAAGGAGTTAATGTTTGTTACAGGCTGTGTTTTACTTTTCTTGATTTGTAATAATGTTGCTAATTTAACATTGGATTGTATTTTTCTGATTGAAAGAAATGAGTGAAAAAACAATACTAACCTAGCTATGGCAAAGGAGGGAATGATAGTCTTATGTTAAGACATACAAAACCAGTGGACATCTATAATAAAGTGAAAGTCTATTCATAGATTGGAAATTACTTCTATTTTATAGCAAGGGTGGAAAGAATAAATTTATTTATGAAATGCACGTAAAATGAATTTGTAACGCAGGCATCTGATGAATTTCAGTGGGTAAGACCTTTCTGCCATAAATATTTGCAAGTATTTAAATTAAAGCTTCTTAAGTGCAGTAACAGCAAGCCTGAGCTGCCTGAATGTTCTTAGTGCTATAAGACCTCACTTGTCAAGGCTTTTTTTTTTTAAAAAAAAAAAAATGCAGAAGAGGCATCTATACAGAAGTAACTCCAGCAAGAAATGGTAGTAAAATGCTATCTATGATAGAACCTTAGGCATTTTGAAATGGCAGAGTTAGAGTAAATAGCAGTAATTACATCTTTATAGTGCTACATCAAGCTTACTCGTCTCAAGTGTATGCAAGCATGCTTATACAGGTATTTTTCATATAAAGTTGTAAGAGCTGTTTCATTAATAACAGTGGTGAGAAACATCCATCTGGACCCCAGAATTTAGGTGTAACTAGAGTTTTTACTTGGCTGTATTGTAAGAATATCCCCTGTTGCTAATGGAATGCACACACTTGCTAATGATGCCGCTTTTCCGCACTGAATTTAAAATAGATTTGTGCTCAGTGATACCAAGATGGCACATGGCTTTGTGTAGTTAGTCTACCAATTAAAAGATATTCACCTAACTGGATGAAAAATGGCTGTTCCTGTGGATGAGAGGACTGTTCAAGACAAGAAGCCTTGTGGGAAAAGTTCAGAAGGAGAAAAATATATATGGTAGTAGTTCAGCAGAATGCATGTGGAGGAGAAGCATTAAGCAGGTGATTGCTTGGTGTTAAAACCTATCAGTAGTGGATCTCAAGCAAGGAAGTAAGCAAGCTGTTCTCTATCCCATATTATAGACCAGTAAATCTGTATGTGATTTCATGGGCCAGCTTGTCTCATAGTTCACTTGGGGATAGTGAAAAGGTTCTTCCTTCAGTGGAGGAGGTGTACTGAAACTTCTGTCTGACTGTCATATCTACTCCCCCTGGTTTTACCAGAGGAAAAAACAGCATCACAGCATTATTATTTCAGCTGGCATATAACCTAATAGTTAGTAATATATAATGAAATTAAATACAGTACTGGCAAGAATACTGTTATGCTGATGTAAGGGAATAAGTGCTGTATATTTAGATACAACATGACATCTATAACAGTATTTGTGTTTTAATTATAATTGATAACTAAAAAAAAATCCTGTAGTATTTTTGGTGCTTTTTTCCTCTCTAAACATTTACTTTATTTCATAATCATGGCATAAGTTGAAAGAAACATTCTCTTACTACCAAGACAAAAGCCTGGTCAAGATAGCTAGAGAGAGCAAATCTGACTAACTCCAGTGATTGGTGGACAAGGCAGTATTTGTGATTTCAAGTAACGGGGATAATTCCTAAGCGTGTTCATGGGCTCTTTTGGCAGCATGTATACGTTTCACGGAGTGTTTAGGAAGGATATGGTTAAATATCTTCAATTTCTCTGCAAGAAAAGTAGTAGCAGGTGTTTTGTCTCACTGTTGAGCATAGCTGGGGGAAAAAAAAAAAAAGGTGGTCAGAAAAGAATGCAGCCTGCTCTTAATAGAAACCAAACACTTTATTCCAGACCAAAGTTATAGCATTTATTAACCTTGTGAAATCAAACTCTCAGAAATTAAAAAAGGCAGAACTGAACAGAAACACAACTTGAAAAATCAGTGGCATCTAACTTTAGGAGATGTACCCAAAACAGTGAGCCCCTCTGTCTGGATCTCTGACAGTTAACAAAGTGACACAGTTCCTAAGGAAGGGTAGTCATTGCATATAACTAAGTAGTACAAAGTTAATCTCCATTAGAACAAAAAAGCCAAACTTTTACTAAATAGAAAAAGATGAATTCAGATCTTATTTCCAGGATAGTGAGTGGTTTTGGAACTCTTTAATGAAGAATAAAACAACAAGTACAAAACCAGTTGAGTGTGCTTCAGAAGTAATTGGTGGTGTGTATGGAATACAGATCAGACTTTATATTCAGCACTTGGAAAAGTATTTTAATAACTTGGCGAAGTAAAGGTACTTCTAGTCTTCTGAAGCAACAGCACTCCTTTTTACCACAATTAGTTTCTCCATTCTGTCATTTTAATAAAAACAATTCTAGAGTTGAAAAAACTCCATTGAAGTGAGCACTGATAGCGTCAGTGTTAATATTAGTAGTGGTGTCAGCTTTATGTTAAAAGGCAAGATGAAACAAAAGGATCAGAAGCAAAAGGAACGTGTGACGTTCCAGATTCTGAGAAAGGATGTGGCTTCTAGCCACAGGAGCTACTGTTCTTTACACTAGGTGCCTCTGTGAATTTAATTCTAGTTAAGTGAGTGAGAAGAACTGTTTATACCATCAGAGAAAGAACCTGAGGAAATTTTGCTGGATTCAGAAGCCTCTCAGTACCACGGGAGCAGAATTTTCCATATCTCCAATCTGGTTTTGCATGAGTTTGACTTGTTTTTTTGAAAAGTCAGAAACAACAGCAACATAAAACATTTAAAAACCCCATGTGGTTCAGTTCTAGTATGGAGTTTTTATGGCCATTGACCGAAGTAAATTGAAGAGCTGTGGAGACTGTCTTCTTCCAAGGTGTATTCAAACTGTTGTAGTGGTGGCATTCCACTGCTGCCTGGCCCCAGGCTCAGCAGTTTGGCTGCAGCAGGCTCTCTGAGCAGGAGGCTCTGGAGCTCTCCCTAGTTCCTTGTCAAGCTCCCTGGGGTTATGGTAAAGGCAGTGCTTTACCCATTTGGCTGCTAGTCAGCTGTGTTGGCACAAACTCAAGTTAGAGGTCCTCTGCTTGAATTTGTACTCTGCCCCAAGTGCCTCTTCTGTTTCTGTGTCCCATCCTGTATGTCTCTCAGTGGCACCCTCACTTTTCCCCACTCTCTGCTCTGCCTCAGCAGGCGCTCCAAAAAAACCTTACACATGCCACCAGAGTTCTCTGACATCTGCTTCCTCCTTTCCCATCATGTACTGTCTTGTACCTGTTCTTTTTGCCTTGTCCACTGAATAACCTAACCATCTGAGTCTTTTGGATGCTTGAATGGAGCATCCACAGGTCATCCTGTGATCAAAGAATAATTTACAAATTTGTGCACAAAGATGCTACGCTGCCCATTGTTTCAGATGACTGCATACCTAAGAAATCTGAAAATTGTGGAAACAAAGAGCAGAGCTGTGAACAGTGTGTTATCTCTGCTAATGAAGACATTTTAAAAAGATAGATATTTGCTGAAACTGCACATCACAGCCATAATTCTGCCTATATATAGAAAAGACATGGCAGCTTTAGGAAAAGGGTGTGATAAATCTTCTTTTGGGGCACGGTATTATCTGTTACATGGAGTAAATTTTGCACAGTAGGCAACTTCACAAAATCTATGGTTAAATACTGAAGTTAGAAAGCTCAGGCTTCAGCCAAACATAGATTCAGGTATGCATCTCCAGAATGTGCCCCTGTGAGCTACCTTCTCGTTTTACGGTGAGTAATCAGACTTCACCAGCTTCTCACATTTGATAGCGATGTTTTAGGGGATCAACTGCTTCCTACCTGGATGCTAGATAAAGAAGTAAGAGCACAAAGGGAGAAAGAAAAATCTCTTACCTACATCATCACAATGGTGGAATAACCATCCAGCATTATTGCCTCTACATGGCCAAAGTCTTTATTCAAATATTCATTTTTCTGATTTTCTCATGACAGTGATCTTTATGTATGGTGTAACGGGCAGCCCTGGAAGTCTCAGAATCAGAGCTCTGTTCCCCTAAGCACTGTACCGAACTGTCCTAGGAAACAGTTCCTCTTCCAGACACTTTGCCATGTAAGTAGATGTCAGTGAGCTTTAAATATCACATCGAGGTCGAGTATGCCTTCAGCTCATTCAGGTTGGCAGAAAACAGGAACACAGTGTTGAGCTGAACAGGAGCGCACTCGAGTGCACCCACGTTTTGCCATTCTTTAGTTCCTGATGGCGTTAGATCAAAGGAGTTTTGATTAAAGCAGGCAGCACTGAGTCATCAGTTCTGAAACAGGTTGTAATTACAGAGGACTGCTTTAGTCACTGTACAGCCGTAGGTTATATTAGTTTCATATTTAGTTTTTCCCCTTTCTTTGTCTCCATATAACAAGAGATTTGCCAATTACAAGCCTTATGTTTTACAAGTTGATTAAAGAAACAAATGCCGTTTCCGGCTGTAAAACAGGAGTCCTTTGAGTGATCTGTCTAGACAAGAAAAAATATTTGGTGCTTAGACCTTCTCTGTAATTTCCCATATACTGAAAGATCCAGTTGTGTTCAGACTGTGTACATTTCAAAAACTGTCTTCTGTGGCTACGTTATATACTAAATGAGGAGACTTGATGCAATCACAGGTTTTGTTTCTGCAGCTTTTTAGTCAATGGACCTTAGTTTACCTTTGTAGAACCAGCTGCGTGATGTGTTCCCCTATCCCTTTAACATTTAGTTAGCTAAGAGAAATACTGTAATTTAGGTGGTTCTAAAATCTCCAGTTGTAGTTTTTTTCCGCTTAGGCTTTTAAATGAGTAACTGTCTTGTGTCTCAGGAACTGTTGTTGTTAAACTATAGCTAGCCACTGAAAATACGAGCACTGCATTATTGTCTGTTGGCTTAAATTCCTGGCTGTTAATCCACCATTGTGTACTCGTTTTGAATTCTATTAATTAACAGGGTTTTCTGAATAAAAGGTAAGAGTATTTAGATTTTTCTTGACCAGATACATGAAGCTCTGATGATCACAAGACTAAATATTAAAATATGTTATGCACATATAATGCACAGCAGCAAGAGGGGGGGACCAGAAGAGTAACCATAAGCAATTTGTATCTTCTTCCTCCCAATAATTCCATATGCATCTTTTTGTAATTCTGTCATTATGATGACTGGAAAAGGAAAGGATGTCAAAAGTAATACTTGGCCTTTTACCTTTGACAGTATTTTTAATGCAGATATGTTGCTTACTCTTGATGCTGAATTAATTCTGCTCCAGGAGGGTTTGTGGTAGATTTCAGTAAGTTCAGTATGCTGAAACCACTCAGCTTTTGATATTTGTGTTCCTTGAGAATAAGCATCCTAGCTACTGTATTCTTTGCCAAATACAAAAAAAAACCCCAATTTTCTAAGATAAATTCCTTCAATATTTTTTCTTCCAGAAATCAAAATATAGACACTATTAAAACATTTTTTGACAAAATGAACAAACTAAAACGATTTTGCTAGTTCTATCTGCAAGTACGTCTTTTATACTTATCGGTTACACTTAAATCTTGGAGATGTATATACGTATATGTAGTCCATACATTTTTTGCATGAATTTTTGTATTTTAGCTGAAAATTTTTAACCAGTGATCAGTTTAGTAAGCGAAGAGGTGAGTTTTTCATCATTTAAACATCCTAAAGTAAAGTTAAATATCTTTCTGGAAAAGATGTTAGAAGATGTTTACTCCATTGGTACAGAAATTGCCAGAGACGGTTTTTTTAACATATTTAAGAGTTGTTGGTAGACTCCTCTGGCCTTAAAAGTCTATATGTGATTCTAAACCTGTTCAAACCCAACTACAGCACCTAGGAAAAGCTGATTTTTCAGGACCCCCCAACCATGTAAAAGCATGGTAGATGAATTTGAGCAGTTGGGGAGCAAAACGGGTAACCTGTGTGGATGGTAATGACATGCTGCTCAAATGTGGATAACTTGGGAGCTGTAACCACATAGTTCAAAGACCAAAAATTCCCTTTCAGCTGGTCATAATACACGATTTAAAAGTAAAGATGTCCTTGATTGGTGAGCACTGTCAGGAGGAAGAAGGAGGTGCATCTTTGCTGACTTTTCTAGGTCTTTATCTGACACAGCTGTGAAGAGCTGGAGGAGTAGACAGGATTACTCTCTCTACAGAGCCTTACTCTCTTTCAGAAAGACACCAAGCAGCAGTGCTGCTCACCTGTCCGAAGAAGCCCTCTCTCTGTGGCAATGCAGGATTTAATCCCACCAGCTCTTTAGTTCAGTGAGTGCCTAAGGGCTTCACTGGAGGTAGAATGATGGTAGGCTCCACCACAGGAAAGTCTAATCTAATGTGCAAAATTAACAATAATAGCTAGTACCCAGATAAATCAAAAGTGAATTACTCACTATTTAAAATTTAATTTCCCTGAGGTCCTGTGCAGAAGGTAATTCCAAGTTGATAGCAACCTTACTTAACAGTCATGATGCTTTCTAGAAAAGAAATGTAGCAATAATTTCTCTACCTCAAACTGCAGAGGAATTTAGAAAGCAGAAGGTACTAATCCTAGTACCCTGGCAGGTTCCCAGTTTCAGTTAATGTTCTTTCTCGTGGAAAACACACCACAGCATCTTTAATGACCGTAGGTGGTCAAGGCCTTGGATTTAAGTCTTACTTTGAGGGAAGATAAAATATACATTCCTAGCACTTGTAACACAAAAACAAACCACGTAGTGCCACAGTCAGCTCAGCTACTGTAGTTTGATGGGCAGCTGAGTCAAAGAACAAACTTACTTGTGCAAGTGATTCTTGCTTGTAAGGCCAGCAAACCGCAAAGGGGAACTACAAATGAAAGGGCCAGTACAGAGAGCATGCAGGCGTTGTGATTCCTTTGCCTACATGAGTAAGATTAGTCATGTGTGTAAACTTACAGGATAAAGCCAGAAGGTTCAGTCCACAGATATTTAATGCTTTCATGTACACCGTGAAATTCTCTGCTGTGCTGAAAGCCAGAATGAGAGCTCTGCAGGACTCCTGCACAACAAATGGAACCGTACCCTTGAACTCTTCTTGTAAGCACAGTGGGTTCAGTTTCACACGTGTTGTTGACTGTATAATGCTACACTGGCAGAATCTGTAAGTCTGTCAGATAGATGGTCATATTTAAACTCTCTTACTCTGTGGTATGCAGCATCATGCCATGATTGGCAGGTTTGGTGAAACAGCTGGGAGACAGTTAAACAAAAGTGTTGTCTGACAAAAGACATCTCCTGTGAAGTTAACGGGGAAATAATTTCTTAAATTGTACAGGTGCTTACATAAAATGTTTGTGTCTTGTCCTTTGTGTTTTCCTTCCCCATGCATAGAGGGACCTCGCTGCATCTGTTTGCAAAAATGGCCCATCTGGTGGTTTTTTGCACTCTTCGTGAATGTCTGCCTTTGACTCACACAGCCTCTCTGATGTTAAGGTTTTTCCTTGCAGATGTGGATGAATGTGCAAATGGCACAATATGTGGCAGTCACGGGTTCTGTGAAAATATGGACGGCTCCTACCGCTGCCTCTGTTACCAAGGCTATCAGGACACACAGGATGGGCAAGGGTGCACTGGTAAGTTCTTAGGTGCACGTAGTTATTCCTACAAGGTTCTAGTGAGCAAAAAGCAACAAATGAGCAAGATGCACGTCTTCACAAGAGTATTTTTGTTTTCCATAATTTTTATTAGAGTTTACCACTTACTAATAAAATAAGGTTGAGCTATGCTTTACTTACTGAAATATGTGCCAGACAGAAACTTAACTGTGTATCTGTTTAAGGAGAACCTGTCATTAGGATTGAATGGAAAATAACAGCCGCTCATTTTTTCTTTAAAAAAAAAAAAAAATTAAAAAAAAAAGGAAACGCCACCATTTGTATGTCAGGACCATTCACAAATATAAAACTTAATAGAATGAATTTAGTACTTTAGTCTGTTTAAATGCGACATCTGTTTAGTCTCTTAGCTGCATAACCAGAACTCTGTACTACCCCCTACAGGAAATAACGTCTGGCATGTGGCACAGCCAGTCTGAATTAGATGGCACACCTCCCTAGGCACATCATATTTGAACAGATTTTAACATTGGCTTCAAGCTCTAGGAAAGACACCTATAACCCTGAAAAGGTGGGGGGGTTTGGTACATGTGTAAATACTGCACATTGCTCTTGCGAGTAACAGGTTTCCAGATCTGTTGTTAATTGTGATGGTTGGGCCTGAGAACCATCTGAGGCAGCACAAGTTTCTAATATAAAATTAGTACCAGATCAAGGAAATGTGTTCATTAAGGAATTTCTTCAAGCCAGACCAGGATGAAATGAAGCCAGAAACACAACCAGGAACAGAGACCTAAACAAAACGAACAAAGAGGAGGAGTTAGAATTTTTACAGGCGTGTTTGTATGTGTTTTCTAATATATTACATAGTTTTATTACAAAATTCTTTATGCTGTTTGGCACTTGGTTTCCAACATACAGATGTGTATTTTTGCATACAGTGACTTTTCACAGATGAAAACAAATGAAAAAGGGAAAAAAAAAAAAAGGAAGGAAAAGCTGATGTGTAACTAAAATTAATTTTGACTTTCCAGTGAAGTGATTCTGCACCATAAAATAATGTCTTGTGGCTTTTTTTCTTGTATACATTATATAATATCAAATACTCTTATAATTTTTATGCCAGTTATCTATTAAAACAACTTCAGGTAAAGGTAAGTCTCTTTAGTTCTTGGCCAGGCAAGGTTCCCCAAAGATTTATTCTATATGACAGGAATGAAGGAAAAAGATGGAGAAAAATCTAAGTACATTTTAAAAAGTACTGAGCAAACCATAAACTAAAATGCATATCTGTATGAAAATACAAAAAAGTCAATACTCAGTCGTATGACTAGGTTTTCATTCTTGCTGGATAAGAGACAAAAGGAATAAAAAAATTGCCTCAGAAGTTACACTTCAAACCACACTCAGTTGTAGAAATTTCTGAATTGTGGTACACAAATTATCATTTTCTGATTCTGTCATCGGTAGACAAAGCAGATTTTCAAATGTCAACTTTAGCAACAGAAAAGAGATTAAAGTTAAGTGATTCTGGCTGCATGGGGTAGTTGTTGTTTAAACAACAGACGCTCTCCATTCCATCAAAGACCAAACATTTCAGGGTAGTCTTGTTAACAGGTATATAAAACCCAAGCTAAAAATATGTGGGTTTTTCAGGGAGAGGAAATTTGCAGTGTTCAGGAGGGGTTCCCTGAGTGACCTGGGCATAACCCTTGTGGGTTCCAGAGCAGCCTGTGAGGACATACAAGAGGCAAATGGTGGCAGTGGGGTTGGGGAATTCACTGTTTTCTGGAAGTTCACATAGAAAATTGAATTTTCAGGAAAAAAGGGAATTCTTTTTTCATAGTGCAGTCTGAATTGTACTGAAATCTGCTTATTTTGCTCCTTGAGTTCAGTGGAAATTTGATAATAAAGTCAAGAAAATTAGTCTGAATCTTGAATTACAAGGAAAAGGCATGAGGAAAAGCAAGTGCTTAAAAATGAGAGGGGAAAAAAATTAAAGCCAGTATTCTGGTCTACATGCAGCAGCTAAGCACCATCAATAGTCTACAAGCTGTACTGTGGCTTTCAGGGGCCTTTATATCAGAGGACCGACTACTTATTTATTAATCCACTTGGGCAAGATTAGGAACTCACTAATACCTCAGAGATCACATCTTGAATCTGGCAGACGATATTGGCACAGATACAGCACATGAAAGAACAAACTGTCAGTAACGTGTCTGAATTGATTTATATTTTGGATTTTTGTTCCCCAGATGTGAATGAATGTGAAATGCTGAGTGGAGTATGTGGTGAAGCTCTCTGTGAAAATGTTGATGGCTCTTTCCTGTGCCTGTGCTCTGATGAAAACCAGGAGTATGATCCAATGACCGGACAGTGTCGCTTCCGTACCTCACCAGGTAAAGTGCCAGTGGGTGTTTGTATGCTTGTCATGATTTCCACTGCATAGGTAGCCAATGGAAAGGTAAAGTTGATTTAAATGCTAGTGTTGCTTTAACTACAATAGAAGAATTTAAAACTTGATCTTCTTGGAAGTGTGTGCATGAGAAGAGGCGTTTCTAGGGTGGAATATGTTCCATCATTGGATGACTATCGGTGAATCATTAGGAGTGAAAATACAGCAGAAATGCCTTCTAAACTTTACGTACATGAACAGACTTGGGAGTCATAATGAAAGGTTACAGCAGTTAAGAGTAAACAATCTCTTGTTTGCTCTACTGTAACAAAGAATGTGATGTGGAATCAAGCCTATGATCTGAGTGACTATATTTTGTTCAGATTTTTCAAACATCCACTAGTATGCTTGGACAATGTTTAAGGGAGTATATGATTAAAACCAAAATTTTTGTATAGCGGTATTGTCTTAACATTATGCAATACTAATGTAAATCCTCAGAAGAGGGAGCTGGGAAGGAAAAAAACCCAAGCCAATAAATCGTTGCCTCTCTCTGGGTGTCTTTGTGAGTACGTTTGCCCTTTTACTCTATCTTTTGTCCTGTTTTACCTTGTAGTCCATTGTACTGGATTTGAGTGCTTTTCTTATCAGGTGTTTTGAGTGTTGCAAATGCTACTGGAAATACACTCATGAAAAATCAGTTTAGAGCTCTTAAAGTTCTACATTAGTAGAACTGAAGTTCTGCTTTTAAAGTTTACACTGATCCAGCCTTGAGAAAGGAACAAGCCCATAATAACGAACAACAGACTGTAAAAAATGACAGAAAAGAAACTACTTTACTTGCACAGCTTTTTTTTCCCTTCCAGAGTGCAGATCTTGGTATTTTCCTTATTCTTTTCTTACAGTGCAGGCTACTCTAGCTTCCGGAAGGGTTTAGAATAACTGGCTCTAGTGCCAGGGTGCAGACTCTACAGCTTACAAGGCCGTGGCTGTTTTCTCCTATCGCTCAGGGACTACCAGACTTGAAATATCTGTGACCTAATTGCAACAAGCATTTAGATCAGTCAATGTAGCACTCAGCAGCACTCAGGAAGTTGCCTGCGAAATACCGCTAACAGCTGATGGACAAACTGAAACCTTTGCAAAATCTAGTGAGAAAGATTCAGGCTTACAGGAGCTTGTTATATGAAGGAGGAACGGAAAAAAGTAAGATGCCTGGTGGTACTGCATCCATTCCTGTTTGCAAGGAAAAATACTGCGGTACTCTTACACCATGAAGCAGATTAACTTAAATACCTACTGATGATAACTGAAGTAGCAGCATTTAAAGTTCTTCCATGAATTTATGGAATAAGAATGCTTAAGTTATATTTTCAAGATTTGCAGGAGCTGTGAATGTCACCTTTGTTTTGGTACTGTGAGGAGGTAATACTTGGGAGAATGCAGCTACTTGTCAAAACAAAACTAAAGTTAAAGAAATTAGCAAAGAATCTGAGCATATGTAAGAAGAAGTCAAGTCCATAGAGTGTTCAAGGACCTATCCAAACATTACTATGGGGAGGGACAGGATGAAAAAAACAGTACAACTGATTGTACTTTCAACAGATGAATACTCTTCTGTCAGTACTAACTACATTTTTTTGTCACTGGAAAACACAGCTTTATCATGACCTGTTTGGAAAGAAGCTGTTCTTCCTTCTCCTCCAGCCTTCACCAGGCCCTAACAAAATCTGTGCGTCACCTTTGTCACTTCTCTGATAAGGTCATAAAGGAGGAAGATCTGACACTGGAGACTAGAAGACATGCCCCAGTGAGATGTACTTTACACCATGTGTTCTTGAACCGGAATAAGGAAACGTGGCAGTACTAGCAACAGAGATCTTACTATTTACTGTCTTGTCTTCTAAAGTAAAAGGAGGAAAGTACCATTGTTAGTTCTTCCTAAAAAGGATTCTGTTTTCCTGTACATCCTGCAGCCTTGCTATTGTTTTTTTTCTTATCAGTCAAGTGGTGGCACTACCCCATGTAACTCTGGATTTGGCATTTCAGGAGCTGACAACACACACTTCATTCTTGTACATTTGCCCACTTTGCTTGTTCCTGGTTTGTTCTGGGAACCAATGGGTGGCCCTTGTGGAGCTGTCAACTGAAGAGGGAACAAACCCAGTCTTTTCCTCCCCGTTATTAAGTGGCGTAAGCCCTGTGTGCTCTTACTGCAGGATGGGCAAATAACAGTTGTGTTGGTTTGCCCAGCAATGAGTACTTCAGCCTCCCCCAAGACCAGTTGCAGCATGATCATATGGGAATACCGTGCTGTGTCCCTGCAAAGAGCAGTGGAATAGCCACACATCCTCTGGCTTTGACAAGCACATGCTCAAGTCAGGCACGGTACTTTGAGAGCTCCTGCTGTGCATGTGGACATCATCTGCCAGCATTAGCTTCTATCAGGCCTGTTTTTAGAAAGGAAGAATTTAATCTGCATTATCCTGTTGCAGATATCTGTAGTTCAGTGTGATGTACTCAGCTTTGCTTATTTCTCATTTTGTCTTTTTGTGCATAAAGAACAGCTACCTCCTATCAATTGCAAATAGGTGAAGATTGTTCAAATACTATTTTAATTTGGGAACTTTTTTGCATGTGGTTAAAGGCAGCTAGCTTTGTGGAATGCTGTGTGTTCACACTTTTCTTTACGTGCCAGTAGGGCTCTCAAGACTTCCTTCTATTTAGATTTCACTTCGTCTATTGATAGCTGTGTCCTGAAACAATCATCTCAGCATATATGTCAGGAATTCTAGCCCATATTGTCGCATTCCAATAACAATCAAAGAAACAAAAAGTAATTTTTCAAGGTCTGGGTGTCTTATTCCCCTCCTCTCTGCCCTGCCATTCACAAAATGTAGCAAATGCTTCAGAAGGAAGAAAAGGTAAAGGAGGAAAGACCTTTCCTTTGTATTAGCTAAAACTTTGCTTTTACACGTCTCTGAACCTAAGAGAGAAAAAAAAATGCCTGGTTTGGGTTAAGGTCATCTCATTTATCATTTTAACAAGGTATATAGAGCCATTTGTGATTAATTCCTAGTAAGAACTAAGCTGTGTGCAGTTTGACTGATGGTCTATGTTAATGTGGCTTTAATTATTTCTCAGTAAGAAAAAAATGCATGTTCTAGTATGCATCTAAATTACTAATATATTATTATATATTAATAATACACGCCATTGCATTGAATCCAGAAGCTGTGAAGGACAATATATATTTGAGGATTATAATAGGTATGATCTAAAATGAGAATTACAAACAAAAGGGTGTAGGTAAACATAAGCGTATTAGTGGTAATCTGGCTTACATTGATAAAGGTCAATAAGATCACACATTTGGGTTACAGCTCAGCCAATAAAAATAAATGCAGTGAGAGAACTCCACTAAGGTACCAGGGCCCACTTAAATACCTACAGCTAATTTAGACATTGCTTTTTCCTGGTTGATGAAATATGACCCATTATTTATGGCAAGATATTTAACAGTAATTACTAGTATTTACAGCTAAAAATCACAGTTTTGGTGCCTGAACATGAGCCCCTCCTAGACTGATTTGTATCAAAACCAAATCAATCCGCCCTGCATCTAAACAACCAACAGCACAAAAAATTGAGGCTGCCAAGTAACAGTTTATAAATCTCCTCCAAAAGCTTTCTCAAGGCTAGAAATTTAGTGCCCGAGTATAAGTTCTAAATTTCTTAAACTTTAAGGGCTTTCTAAATGCTAGGACTTTGAAGGAAACTCTTCATATTTGTGGGGTGTTTTTTTGCCCATATGGGCAATATGAGCATGTTTTTTTAAGGTAAACAATGATATGAATTTCAGTCATCTATTTTAACATAATCTTAGGTATATAATTTTTAAATGTGCATCACATTAGGTGTTTTAGCTTGCCACATGTGGAGGCAACTGAGAGATCTAAACAAGTACAACCTGACTATAGGCACATACCAATCTATTTCTACTGTTGTTTTTAAAATCAGGTTCTGAATGTGTGTCTTACTCAAACTGTTGGCTCAGGCTGAGGCTTTAGAATTCATTAACTTGTAATGAGCATTTCCCACTTTAGCAACTACCTGACTGATTCCACCTGTGAATAAGAGGCATTGGTACATAGTTGCAGTATTTAAGATCCCATCAGTTCAATGTGTTTTGGTTTTTTTTCAGATGATGGTTGTTAATAGCCTGTTGAGGCAAATATTTAAGTGTGTGCTGAAATCTAAGCATATGCTTATTTTCTAATTGCACTAAGCCCTATAGTACTAATGCACATTTTTGCATCGAACTTTCTGAAGCATATTGTTGGATTAAGGTTATACTAATGTGTATAAATCTATTTCTACTCAATATTTCAGAGTTCAATCTAGCAGCTAACATACAGAATCTCTTATAAGTTAACAGAACAAGCTGATAAAATTATGTCCCTTTACCAATATGCCTTAGGTAGAAAGGTATTTTATATTTTCTAACAACAAAAAAAAAAACTGAAACAATAATGGTACAGAAAATTAAGTATCCATTTTTCTGTCATATTTTGTCAACATACCTAGTGAAATCATTTTCAAAAACAAACTGTTTACTAAATGGTTAATAATGTATGAGAGAGCAATTATAAGCTTGTAGTCACAGACTGGTCTTGGTTTGAGAAAAAATAATGAAAGATTTGTCTCATTTGCTTTCCAAACATTCATGACGCCTTCTTGACTAACCCTTAGTCACAGCTGTGTAAACAACAGACTTTTAAGCTGCTGGACAGATAATGGGAGGAGAAGCCAACACATTATATGTAAAATGGGAATAAACAATGACATGAGGAGACTGTCTCCCCTTCCTCCTGGGGCAGCTTCTGGTGTTCTTTCTCTGGTAAATAGCATGAAAACTGCCACGCTTTTTCTGCTTTTGAAGATTTGGCTTGTATTCAGTTAGATGACAAATGGCCAAGGAAAATGTATAATTTGGTGGCTGAAGTACTGCTCTCTCACCTTGGAATAACAGATTTAGTTCAGTTGCATTTCTGTGACACAATCGTCTTAACGTGGTTCCTGTTGGATAGCAGCTGATACCACAAAACCACCACACTTTATGAAATTCAGCACGTTATGGAAAATTGGAATTATCTCATGAGGGGAGACCACAGGCTACACTAGCAAAGCTGAAATAATCACTCAGCTGGGTGTTTCCCTTAATATAACAACTTAGTTATATTGGCAAAACAGCAAAGGAAAGTTTGCCTTGTAGGTGGCAACATTGTACTAAATTTGAATGGGGGGTGTCTGCCAGCCCCTCAACCTCCCAGAAAAGAAACAGTCACTTCTCTGAGGAAAAAAAGGAATAAATCCAATTGTCTGTTTGGAATTATAAGCCTGAAGACTTATTACACACATTCATACTATCAAAGTGCAAGAACAGGCAATCCATACTGACATCTTTAAACCTGCTTTTCTTAAAACAGATCTAGTACTTGAGTGCTTAGTAAAGTTGCCTTGCCCCATCTACTTGGGGGAATGTGGGTGGGCAGGGATACCAGGCTTGAGGTAACAAGAGCAGGAGTTCCTTTAATTCCTTCAGCATTTGTTAGACAATCACGTCTTCAAGCTTCCACCTCACAGCCATTATTTTAAGTGGATGGGACTGGATGAAAATCTATCCTATAACTAGCATTAAAAGGCTGAGCTTGACTTGCAGGAGGCAGAGGCAGACATGAGGTGGTCAAGGGAATTTGGCTCTCCAAGGTATACCAATACTTCTAAGTGGGCCACCCAAAAGAACTGCAGGACAAACTAGGGTGGTTTTTTATGCCACAAGTTTTTGGGTCTTAATAATCTTCTAGTATTTTGTAAAGCACTGTAACTTGGATATAAAATAAGGTTTTGAGTCCTGCCTGGGTACATGCGTTACTTGAGAAATGTCTCATGCTTGGCATGGTGTGTGAGAACCTGAGTAGAAATGTGTGTAATTTCAAACAATGGAAAATAAGCCAACATGCAATAGTTTTTAGTAGGTTTTTGTGATTTAAATATTTTTTAAGTGCTAAGCATAAAGAATTTCCCTAGATAAAAAGGAAATAAAGTAGTCATCTCAAGACTTATCTATCTTAAGTTCCTAAACAAAGTTTTGAGTTTGATTAATAAATGTGAGCAATTGTAATTTTAGAACTCAGTCACTTTGTGAAGGCCCTTTGAAAGGTTATTCATATGGATAAGTGTGAATAACAATTTTATGTGATAGTTTGCACTTCTGAGCTCTTGATGAGGATTTCTGTGGAAGTACAAGGTTGGATAGATGAAGCTCTGCAAACAGAAGTTTTAACTAGATATTTCTTTTCAAACTCACTTCTTGGTGTACTTCAGGAGTGCCTTGCTTTGGAAGGGTCTTTGACTATTAATAGGGGTTTTTATTGGATCTATGGGAGAGACTAGTTTGCCTCTAGTCCTTATAAATATTATGAGAGGACCCACTCAACTACTAAAGGCAGAAAATGTGACTTCTTGGCTGGATGCCTATTTTAAAGTAAAGCACAGTCAGTTAACTTGACATTACATTGCATTCTTCTGCTTACGGTGGAATCAGTCAGTTACTATTGTGAAAATCATAAGGGACCTTGTATTCAAGTGTGAAACATGCTTTTTTTCCCAGTGAAATTTAAAATGTCTGAAAACCTTGATTCTTTTGAAAATCAGGCATTTTCAGTTTGTGCCTTAGCTCCTTTATCTGTAAAATGAGGTTGCAGTGTTTGCTGACCTGTGAAGACCTTTCAGATTCATACATGAAAAGCACTATGTCAGTAGTTACGCATGGCAGTTAGATAGCTCAGTGTGACAGAAGTTACTTCAGGTTGCTTAAAATGAAAGAAGTGCAAATGTGAAGAATCCTGTCGCGGCCAAGTTGGGGAACAAATCTGGAAAAGCCAAAGGAAGATTATCAACTTCCATCATTCTTCCTAAGAACAAAAAAGTTAACCCGAAATTTGTACTTAACCACTTTCTTCCCTGTTTGATAACGCTGCTCTTCACTGTGGTAAAATTGAGGTACTGTGGCTCTTCTGTTTCTCCTCATAAAATTGATCCATTTCACGTGTCATTTTACATGGCTTGTTTTCCTTTCACCTTAGAATTACCAGTAGAGGCTGATCAACATGAAGATGGAAAGAAGGAGTGTTACTACAACCTGAACGATGCTAATTTCTGTGATAACGTGCTTACGTCCAATGTAACCAAACAAGAATGCTGCTGTACCTTGGGTGCTGGCTGGGGTGATAACTGTGAAATCTTCCCATGCCCTGTTGTTGGGACTGGTAAGAGGAGGCTTTCTCTCCCTTTGCAAACTTTTAAAGTATTGTATTTATGTTAACAGTAGCGTGCTTTGCTTTCAGATGAGGCTTGCCCACTAAATCTCATATTCTGTAGTATTTAGTCATGGCTTATCTATGGGAAAAGTTAATAGGAATAATTTGTACCTGGTGTAAATCCACTGGCTTCACTGCAGTTACCCTGGGGATAAAACCAGCCTGTTAGTGAATAGCATTATCTCCAACTGATTTTAAACCAAGATGGATTCTCACAGAATCTTTTTCTGGATCCTGTGGTACCATACTAGATATGTAAGCATTACAGTGTTTTTGAGTCTGCAGCTATTCTTTGTAATGTTTCTATAGCACTGCAAGTTACTGATATATAATATGACATTAGTTTTACGTTTTGGTACTTACTGAACAATTCAGTTAATCATGTTGTCTGCAGACCATTGTTTAACCTCTAAATATTAAATTGGAGAAACATAGCTATATGATATTTGTTGCAAATATTGAAAACAGTTCTTGAAACATAAACAGTGATGGCTGAAGTTCAGAATCCAGCTGGAAAAAATCACAGAAGAGGGAACATGTGTAAACTTTTTGAGATTAAACACTAGAGATTACTTTTCACACAAATGTACCATCATGTTTTAATTCCTGGTTTAGATATACTTCAGAATCAGTGAAACTGAAATTAAATGCATTACAAAAAGAGCCTCTCCACTTGGATAGGTTTATTTGATCCTGTATAGTCTCCAAGACACTTTAAATAATTTCCCTCTGTAATCCACACCATGTTCTCCTGTTGCAGTCAATTAGGGTTTTTTCCTGTACAAGGACTGAAGAATGTGGACAGGGGCTTGTATCTCAGTTGGGGTATGTCTAGATTGCAGCTTGCAGTATAGCTCAGAGAGGCCCATGCTAGCTTTAATTAAGATAATTTGGCTACTGGTATTGTTATAACTGCAGTGCACCATGAAACCCAGTAAGGACTGCATTCTCCTGCCAAGGAGCAAGAGAAATTAGTTTGCATGGAGCTCTGAGATGCTGTGGGTGCCCTAGGTAGTTTTTTCAAAGCTAGCTGTGCAAACTGAGAGCAGGGGAAAGTCAGCCTGTCAGGGCTGCATTAGCATCCCCCATTTAGCTAAAGGTGTGCATGACCACCTGGTAGATATGAATAAGGCAAAGCCTCACTTCAGATTTCTCTAAATACCCTGAAACACATATGTAACACATACGTGAGTCACTTTTTCTTAACTACATAATTTTTTGTTTTCTCTCTCTCCTAGCTGAATTTGCTGATTTGTGTCCTGAAGGAAAAGGTTTCATTCCCTCTGGAGAATCGTCCTATGGGCTTCTTGCTCATAATTACAAAGGTCAGTACTGACTTGTATTATGTCTAATTGTTTCAGAAGTTCTGGTAGTTGATTGACTAGAAATGTGAGCCAGCAATATAAACATACTAATTCAAATCTTATTAGGTGACAAAACCAGCTTGTGATATGAAACATTGCTGAAAATCATCATTTGATAGACTGTTAAGAATGTCAGTTATACATTCTAAGTAATACTCTAATTTCTACTAAGTGCCATATACTGTGAGATTATGTGCTGAGACCACAAAACTCAAGTACTCATTTACATATGAAATGCAAAGCCACCTTAAATTTGTAAGTAAATGTACAGGGTGTTGGGAGAGAGAAGAAAAGTTCTTTAAAACATTAAACCTACAAGTGAGCATTCTGAAATGCTCAGTTTCTACTATAAAAACTGGAGAAGTTCAACAATGATATTTTCATTACAGAATGTCATGAAATAATTATTGAACAAAAGATTGTAGAGAAATATGAGTGATAGAAATGATTGGTGGGTGTGGACAGGAGGGAGTTGGCATCACTAAGAAGGAAGAGTGAGATCAGCAAAATTCCTTTTCAAGTTTTAGAAGTAGCCATCAATACTAATAATTTATGAGATTAATTTTCCTTGGCATAAACACACTGTGTTAGCTAAAATGAAGTCAATATGTTATCTTTGGGTTTCATAGCAACTACAGGATATTTGGCAAAGCATACATTTGTTCCTACTGGAATTGCTGGTTTACAAATCAAGAACTAGCTGTAGAAAGTACTCTGTGTTCATATCCCATAAAAATCTACTAAAATTTACTATTTTTAAAGACCTTAATAGAGGCATAGTATCACATGGTTGATAGATAAGCATTTTTCAGAGTTGCTTCTAGCTAAATCAGTAATCTATCAGACCTAATTTGTGAGACATGACAGAAATTGGTAGGACTTTAAAGATTTTTGGTTTTCTTCCTAATGGCTGTTATGCATACTTTTGTGAACTGTGCTTCTTCACCGAGTAGAACACTACTAGGTTGGTTTTCCTCTCAAGTTAGTGAGTAGACCATGGTTGAGTTAGGTTCTCTGTCCTACTAATATTTTTCTGTGTGTTATCCTTCAGCAGGTGCTTCTTTGCACCTCTAAAGGGCATGGGACATGGGAGTGATACCAACAGTTATATGGCACTAATATCCAGAGTCATTCAAAATACTGTGGATGTTTAAATGGAGTAACTCACATAACACCTCTGTGCTCTGGAGGGATTTCTTTGTCCACCAACTTGGCTTAAAGAACAAACTGCTGTGGGATGAATCCCAACTGATGGTAGCAGGGATGGGTGTTGGACAGACTGACAATTTACAAGTAGACAAGTCAGAACACTGTTACAGAGTTCATCTTAAAGGACCTAATACTCTGAGAGTATTTTTGTTCAGGAATTATGTGTCGTTTATCTTTGCAGAGCTAAGATTTCTGAATATATTTGCAATGTAGATTTGGGACGTGCTGTGTGTACAGCATGTCCAATTGTGTCTCAGGGGAAATCTGCACTTTTTGTTGTGCTACCTCTGGGTTGATGATATCTCTAGCTGCCATAAATATTGAAGTGTGGAAATAGTACATCTGAAAATACCTTCCACAGAACCTTGCCCTAATAAGACTTTGTTTTCAGTGAGTTTATTTTGTAATAACCATAGGAATGGCACAAAGAATTAACAAAAAATTGATAAGTACTTTTAGTAATGTGATCTTTCTCTTTTACACTAATTTCTATGTTCCTGTTGCTTTTGTCTACAGCCTTCTCCGTTGTAGGAGCAATTCCTATTTTATTGATAGGAATTATGTGTCAGAAGTGAATACACTCAGCTAGCTGCCTTTGACTCTACTTCTCATTTTTCCCCAGGCACAAATGATCCATGTTCCACAGGAAAGACAGATGTGTACATGACATTTCTTATTAATCTTTGCATTATTCTTGCTGCTAAACAGTCAAAATATTAAATGTTTGAAGCCGCTTAGTTGCTGGAGGAGTGGCTGTAAAAATAAATAGCTTTAGAGCACGTTCAGTTCTCCTGGAAATAGTAAGCATTTGAATAATTTACCTTTAAAACTGCTGTACAACTAGAAATGACCCAGAATAAATGGGGATTAAATTCATAGAAGACAATGGATTGAGACAACTGGTATTGAGCAGAATCCCTTAATTTGCACTGCGCTCTTTTTTTCCATTCTACCAACATAAAACAGACTGTTCTAGGTAGGTCTAGCAAATAAGAACTAGGTTGGAAAAAAGGAAGTGGATGGAAATCCAACTGTAACACATATGTAAATACACAACTGGGAAAAAATGTGTACAATGGTGAGAAGCTATAGATGAGCTAGCGTATATTTTCCATGAAACCTCCCTGAAAACATGTAGTCTTATTAGAAAGTGTTGTAGTTTTTGTCAGAGTTTACTGTGTCTGTAGTAGTTGCAGCTGTATATTTAGCATCAAGACAGGATTGTTCCTACATGGTGGGAAGTCTCCATAGAAGTTATGCACATAGCTTTGAAAAACAAAGTCACAAGCAGTGTGTATATGGAAGATTCCTACCATGCACCATAGGGTCACCAAACTGTATGGAGAGAGGAAAGCAATCATAAAGCCCATCCATAAGCATAGCTGCTTATTTTTGTAATTGAGTGGTGTAATTAAACTAGATCCATGGTGGGAATCCCTTGGGTAAAGCAAATTACACTGGAAAATACAGGCCATATTTTTTATCTGTTTTGCTTGGAGCCAAAAGCAATGTGATACCAAAAGAAAAAAAAACAGAGAGCTGCAAATTCTTCCAGTCTCTGTGTGCCACAGGACAAGGGAAAAGGAAAGTCATGGGCCACCAGTTTTCCCTTTCCCATTCCGGCTCTGAGCACACTGTAGCCTCTTCCACAGCCATTGTGGTTTTTGTTTTGGTTTTGGTTTAGTTTTACTTTGGTTTGGGGTTTGTGGGTTTTGGGTTTTTTTTTTCCTTTCCTGTGGGTATCTGTGCTCCAGGGGCCCTCTGTTTAACATGAAGCTTGCTTGAACAGAGAAGTGTGTAGGCTTTATTCCATCTTGCTCCTCAGCATGGCCTCATCATAATTATGGTAACACAGCCTTTAATGTTTTCTCCCCAGATGCTGATGAATGTCAGCTCTTTGGACAAGAAATCTGTAAAAATGGCTTCTGTTTGAATACACAGCCAGGTTACGAGTGCTACTGCAAACAAGGCACATACTATGACCCTGTTAAGCTCCAGTGCTTTGGTAAGTTTATTTAAAGTGGTCTTGTCACTATAATGGTATGCAGATGGACAAAACAAGCAGGCTCGTATGGTAGGATTCCCATCAGAACTGCAGTATTCCCAGGAAGGGGAGAAACACTGGGCCTCCAAACTCCTGTAGCGGCTTTTTAAGAGGCATTGGGTCATTTCCCTTCCCTTCTGCTTGGCTGGGCAGCAATTCTGGCTGACATGGTGATGGCATGTAGAGCAGGGTTTGCTTTATTTGCTTCCTTTTCCAGCAAATTGCTCCCAGGAGCTTACGTTTCCAAAACAGTCCTTTTTGCTCATTTGAGTGCAAAGTCTAGAGCTGGTACCAGCCCTTGTGCAGGCAGCACAAAGTGGTCGGCTCCCTCCTTACATGGACACTGCTGCTTCACTCTGCCAAGGTACAATTTAGCCTTCTGTTCTTTGTATATGTGGTGAGCAGTGAAAGCCTGTATGTTGAAGCTCACCTTTCATTTGGTAAGTGCTGGGTTTACTGTAACAAATGAAATTAATGCAGTTTTTTTTTTCCCAAGGACAGATATTTGCCACAAGAAGTCAATATGCAATGTGAAATTGTAGTTCAGGTCATTGATAAGCCCATTTTAGTTTGCACTGCCTTGTAGTCCGTTAGTTCTGGTATTCAGCTGAAAATTACTCATAACTGTGACCCTGGCTTTTGCTTTGTAAGCAGAAAACTGTGTATAAGGTGCAGAATAGCATAATGAAAGGAAGCAATTTTTGCAACTGCAGTAAGAGAGCCTTTCACCTTGGGATTCTATGATTGTTCTTTACATGGAGTGGAGTTTTTGCTGATTCGATTTAATTTATTGGAACTAAAGTGGCCTGCTGCTCCCTTTGAGCTAAATTTCTGCTTTTCCTCTCCAAGACAAACTGAGGAATAGAACTACTGTGGCTAGGTAAGGTGATCCCTTTTCCTGAGCAGCTCATGAAGAATCTCAAGAGAGTATGCCCATATCTAATGCCTGCTGGTACTGCCTTAAAGGGATAGGAACGTGGGAAGCAGCTACAGCTGTGTTGGGTGCAGGGTATGCCTGGCACCCCAGCCCCTCCAGCAAGCCTCCTCATCCAGATGCTCCCTAGTACTTAAGGATTAGAGGTCAACACACTGCTGATACGTCTGTCCTTCTCCATGGGCACAGGCAGGACTTTGCTGCCAGCAACTGGTATTTGTGGTAATTAACAGAAGGCATGCAGGGAAATCCGCTCCTAATATAGGAAAATGTAAACATGGATTAACACAATGGGACTGCTTTGTGCTGGCTCTCCTTGATACGTTTCCTTCCATTTTAAAGACACGGATGAATGTCAGGACCCAAACAGCTGTATTGATGGCCAGTGCATTAACACAGAAGGATCTTACAACTGTTTCTGTACACACCCAATGGTTCTGGACGCAACAGAAAAGCGATGCATCAGACCAGCAGATTCGAGTGGTATGATCCATTATACGTATTACTGAAGCAAGTACACCTCTGTGAGGTGTAGCTGACGTGGCTACAGACCCCAGTAAGCTTAGAATGGGTCTTGACTGGACGAGCCTGCTCTGTTGGAGGATTTTGGAAGGCAGTACTTGGACCATCATCTGTTGATCCAGAAGGCATCGGGATGTAGGACTCCCCAGGGGTCTTTGCCAGTACAGACAGGAGATTGCAGGAGGATTAATGAAATTAGGCTTTGGCTGGGGAGTCTTCAACCCCCTGATTGACCAGCTCGGCAACTGCCTTGTCCAGCCTTGTAGGTAATGAGGCACAGCACAGCCCGCTTGCTGTCTTACTAAGGCTGGGGTGCGGCTGTGGGCCAGTTCTGGAGATTCAATTCAGACTGAGTGGTGGCTTCCAACAAAGCAAGGAATAAAAACAGGAATAACAAGATGTAGGACGAAATAGCTGAAATTCCATCTTTGCTTTGGATTGATCAATATTGAGGGTACATCAAGCTTACGTTTTCAAGCTGTGGGCTGCTGCAGCATCATTGTTAAAGTAAGGGTTCTGCATGTTCTTTTAATTTCAGTAGACACTGATCTCAGAAAAAATGTTAGCTATTATGAGATTCTTAGAAATGTCTCAGAAATCCAGAGCATTATGCAGTCTGCACAGCTTTGTCTATGCCACACACATCTTTGAAAAAAATGGTACAATGGTTTTGATTAATATTGGCACTGTATAATCATAAATCCAGAAGTCTAGTCCCTGCAACGTGCAATGAATTTTCCTAAGATGCTTCTGTGAAGGGAAATGGGAATATAGACTCAATGCCTGCTTTAGTCATTCCTGATACTTTTTGAGAACTAATGTGGTCATCCTCTTGCCTGCAACTGTGAAAGACCCACAGTATTTCTACTGTTCCATCTTCAGTTAAATAAAACAAGAGCAGGATTGGCCTTCAGGTTCATCTAGGATGAGAAGAGAATGCAAGGGCCCAAATGGTCTTCCATCATGTAACGCTGAGGCTGATACAGCAACAATCTTCTCGCCCATCACAAAGCCCTCAAGCCTTGTGTCACTACTGGCAATGTCCTCTCTAATGCAGGAGAAGGGGGCAGGCTGGTTCCTTTGCTGCCAGCAAAATGTGGAGCTGGCTGCAGAAACCCGCAGCTGCTTTTCACTACATATTCTGGCAAGTTCTTAGTAGAAGAGGTATCTAAATGCCAATCACCTTTCTGCTATCAGAACTCACTGGTGTACTCTTGAGCTAGATTTCAATTCTGTACTCACCCATGCACCAGTGCATCATGTAAAAATGCAGTAAATAGACGTGTACAGACAAAACAGACCCTTGGTTTGGGACAACACTTATTTTTCAGTCTATCTTGGAACAAAATAAAAACCTTGCAGATGTCTTTACAAAACAATTGTGCTGAGGTTTTTACATTCCAAGTGGAAGACTAAGTTTACAGTTCCTCTCCCTCTGATCATCAGTGATCAGAGATTGCTAGGCCTAGGAATTGTTCCTACTGAGATCTTTGTCAGAACTAGTATGTCTCTGAAATATTCCAGCTTTGACAAAAATACATGTTTTTGTTAATGTTCATAGGAATGTGACAGTATTTCACAGTGGTATTCTGTCTCTAACAATAGCTGTAAGTGGATGATTAGGGACCAGAAGAGCAGATAAACAATACTTCTCCTCACCCTCTCCAGAACTCTCCCAGCCTCAAGCTATTTTCAGCTCAGGGGATTTCCTGAGCCTGATGTAGTTTGTCTGTTTAGTTAACTGGACTCTCTTCCAAGTATTTGTCCAGTCTCCCATTGAGCCCATGTAAAATTTTTGTTCAGCTCTGCCCTAGCCATAAAAGTCCCTTCAGTTGCCATTGATGTCACTATAAGAAAAGCAAAATAACAACTTCTAAAGATTCCTTCCATGGAGGGAGTTCCCCAGTTACTCACCTCTGTCCTAACACTGGTGTTTGTCAAGCTCTGTTAACTTCCATGAGAGCAGAGCTGAGTCAGTGTTAAGAGTTCAGTAATGACTAGCAATTTAAGGCGTTTTATTTCCTGCGTGTCCAACCCCGTGGCCTAATAGTGCCAAATCAGAACCTTTTAAGATTTTTGCAAAGCTGAACACTCAAGGGATGACCCACCTCGGAACTTAAAAAACGGTCATGGCATCTAAACTTAAATTTGTATTCAGCAAAGTTGTAAAGCTAGGTTAGTTTTTCTAATCTAAGTTTAAAACATTCTGCATTTTATGCCAGTGTCTTTCTTAAATAGCAGTACTGCAACGATGATCTAATACTGTCTTCTCCATCAGAACAACCTGAAGAAACTGAGGTCTACCAGGATCTTTGCTGGCAGCATCTAAGTGATGATTTTGTTTGTAGTCGGCCCCTGGTTGGAAAGCAGACTACGTACACCGAGTGCTGCTGCCTGTACGGCGAAGCCTGGGGCATGCAGTGTGCACTGTGTCCCATGAAAGAGTCAGGTAAGGGAATGCACATGTCACTTCTTGGCATGAAAACTGAACCTCTTAATCAGTTTAATCCATTGCATTTGTACTTGGGCTAATAACATAAAAAAGAATTTTGAAAAACTAACCCTCCATGAAGAACTAATGGAAAATTGTCCTCTTTAATTAAGGGGGAATCATTACAGCCTAGATTTTGAAAATGTAGCTGCTTTCATTTTTTTGGTATTTAAAGGATCCATTTCCTTCAGGTGGAACTACCAGTGATTGGTGATTTAGAACCTTGGTGGAAACAGGAGGGCATTTTAAGGGTAGCACAGTTTAACATGATTGACAGATTAAAAACTATGTATAAAAATTGCAGGTGCAGTTCATGTGTACAGGCACACATAAAACTTGACAGGTGACATAGCTGGTTTAGATTTTTATTGCTGGTATTGTACATTCAGATGCGTTTTTCCATGTGGTATTCTGCCATGCTAGATGCAATTAGATGTGTTGGCTTGATACGAGGATCTGGTAAGTTGTGGTTTAGAATCACTAAACCTGTCAAAGAATGAATGGTTATTATATGGCTATATGCTCAGATATTACGAAATATATAGGTGAGCAATTTAAAATAGATAAGATGAATGGAGTACAAATAAGGACTGATGATTTTCCAGGGAATATAACTTGGAGAAAGCTGACTGGCAGTAATGTTTTTAAAGACAATATTTTGTTTGTATGTTTAGAAATTAGACATTGTTTCAATACATTTCAGGCAGAAGCTGCTTCTTTTGGTGACTACTAAAGCTAAATGGATATATAGAGAAATGTTGTCACGGTCACATAGACTTACTTCTGGGGCCTGGAGAAGAGACCAGTGGAAGCAGCATTGCTTCATGCTGTGCCCAAGATATGTCAGCCCTGGGATATACAGTCTAGTAACATACTTTTTCCCCATATAAACTATTCCAAGGTCTAGTTTGTATATAGTTTTCTTACTATAAGCGTGTCTTTCAGTAATATGGTTTCCCATGTAGGAATACCATGCTACACTAGTAAAGCATTGTATTCTGATCATGCCTGGATTTTTACTTGGGCCTGTGTTACTCTAACCATGGTGTGGCTAAAGCAGTAAATGTTTTACTTGTAGCAAGAACTTTGGAGTTAAAACTACACAGAGAAACTCAGTGAAGCACTAATGTGGTTGTTTGTGTCTGCTTGGGTTTTATGTTTTTATAATTTACTTGCAAGGTCCTTGAACCTGTTCTTATATATCTTTACTTGTTCGAGTTTGCTTTGGAAGTACAGCAGCTAAAAAAAGCACCTGATTTTGATGATATTGGCTCAAGTAAATGCTGGCTGATGCTTACCACAGAAGCAGACTGAAGAATTAAAACAGTATGACAACGGCTTGATTTATAAGATATGGAAATCTCTGAAATGTCTTGGTCAGAATAAATCTTATAGGAGGACATTCCCAAGCATTGAATTGCTACACCTGCTAGAATAGCAATTGCAATGGAATGAAATGTAATGGTAAAAAAATTAAGAGCGCAATAGCTAATAGCAAGAATTGCTGCTATGACCTAGAACTCCTCAGCTAGAAAGACAGAGCAGAATAAGGGAGGGTTTTTTTGTACAAAGTTCATCACATTGTGACAGTGACCCATCTGCATCACACAAACATGCAGCCCTGAGAGAAGGAAGGAAAGCTGTTCCTGGTAGAGGGAGTTCTGGTAGGTACAAGACTTGCTTCTGAAGATTTCTGGATAGTTACATTTATAGCAGGATAAATCTGAAAAGGAGCAGAGGACTACCAGGATGGTCAGGGAACAGAGAGCCTGCCTTACGAGGGAAGATGAAAAAAGCCAAATGTAGATGCAGAACAAAGGCTACAAATGGTTCCCACAAGCTTTTAAATAAAACAATAGTGCTTATATGAGGAAAAATTTGGAACAAGTTCAGTGTGAACATATTTAGGCATGAAATTAGATGGATTTTGATCATTAGGATCACAGGATTCTGGAGCAGCAATCTTGTGACAACAGTAGGGTGCAGATCCCAACAAGCGCTATGAAGAAACTTGAGAAATTAATTAAAATAATGACCTGAAACTTCCTGAGGGATAACATGCTCAATGTCACTTGGACGACCCTCAGTCAAAGCTGAAGAACATTTTGCTGGATTATAAAATCTTCTTCCAGACATAAGATAATTTTTATCTGGAGTTTAATTTGCATTGGAAAGTGTCTGCTTTAACTGAAACTACGAGGCATAGTTTGATCCCAAATGCTTTAAGTCATCCTTATAGATTGGAGCATAGTTAAAAGAAAGAAAAGTATCTTGATTCTTTATTATGTCAGAACATAAAGCTTACATTTCTTAGTGGAGGTGGTATGTGCTTGTGTGTCCTCACACACATGTGCAAGCACACACAGAAAAATCTGGAAGCCTTTCTCTGTTTTCAGGAACATTTACCAAGAAAAATTTAAAGCTGACTGAACTGAATAAATGATTCATTTGACATGTCTTCAGTTTGTAGCACTTAAAGTGATATCATTGGCTTGAGAGACTGTATTTACACCTCTGGGCCAGCAGGTCACAGGTTCAAGTCCTGGCTGGGGAACCTAGAATTTCTGCATTTTTAAATACTTGTCTATTGTGTTGGCCAGACTTACTTCTGAAGGTGTTTGCTTATGACCCAAGTTAGCATTCTGAAGATTTATAACACATGCTAAAGATGATCTGGGGGTGTGAAAAGTATCCTCACTAGAAGTCTCTCACCATGAAATGGATTGGATTGTACAACAGATCTTTCACTGATCTGTGGTTTCCTTTTGCCTTGTTTATACTCCCCTTGTATTTGAGGATTTAGATGCTGCACTTGGAAAGAAGGAAATACAGGCCTACCACTGTAAGTGATACATTTGCAAGTCCCTTCTAAAACAAATTAATGCTTTAATAAAAATAACCTCTGACTTTTGTGTCCCATCTTGTCTTCCAAGCACTCTGGGTTTTCATTAACAGATTTAAATGTTGTGTTTAAATAACACCCAGCATAAAACCAATGGGAAGATAGAAAACTATAAGAAATGACCCATCTAAATGAAAAAGAAATCCAGTCTTTCACCAGTATGAAAACAATGGGCATAGTTGGTAAGATTTCTAAAAACTACTACTAAGTGCTGGATCAAGCAAACCTCACTGAAAAGTACACTAAGTGTTCAGAGACTGAGACAAAAATAAGTAGAACCTGTGGAATTATTGCAACTGAACAGTGGCATCTTAACAGCAACAGAACTGATAAGTATTTTGATGACAACATCAAGGAACAAACTCAAAATACTAGTTCAAAGTCCTGATCAAAATAGTACAAACATGAACTGTAACGATGTGATTGAGTACATCTTACTTGTACAAACAGTTTTGTGGGGCAGGCCTTTCTGTCATTAAATGGAGGAAGCAAAGACAAGTTGTTTTCAGTTACATTGGTTCTAATGATGAGGCTTTCACAGATTGCATCCAAGCCAAAATGTTAACTACTGAAATGTATTCTCTCTGGTCTCGCTGTGGTGTTAGGCTGTGCTTACCCAAAGAACTTTTAGTAATTATCCTTAAGTAATTATCCTCTGTGTTATTTGGGGTTTGTCATTTGTAATAATGGACCAATTGAGGAAAATTAGAAAATTGGATACTTTTTATTCGATAACAGAAGCAAATCATCCTTTCTCCATTGCACCTGCTCCAAAAAAACTCCTGTTGGATGACCTGCCTTCAGAAGTGCTGCTCCCTTCACCAATTTACTGTTAGTGCCCTAGGACCCAACTGCCCATGCTCTAGGAGCAGGACAGGCACCAATGGGTCTAGAAGCTGGGTCAAAACTTCCATGACAGAACACAGAGCAACTAGCCAAGACTGAAAAAATCTGGACTCTAAAATAAGACCATATACACCTTGTAACCTGAACATGTGGCACCTGAATTATAAATCTGCTGAGCCTCCAGAAGCTCCTGTGAGGCCCTTATAGGACTAGAGTGGATTTTAGACAAAGTGTATTGTTACAGGGTGCAGGAAATTTGAAGGGAGGAGACAGAATTTAACAGCTAGAAAATGTTGAGTAAGGTGATGTCAGGGTCAGTGTTTCATTTAGAGAGACTGCCTATTTTTGAATTTGTAAAATTATCTTCTCGGAGTCTGTTAATGCAGTGCAGTACCAACCTTTCTTCAGTAACACCTTAGGTTGCCAGAAAGGTGGAATTATGTCCCTCTGAACTAAAAATATGCCAATCTGTTAAGGAGGGCACTTTCTTCTTCTGTAGCTGGCTGCCTAGAGAAGTTTTAATATAGCAAAAGGGATAAAGTAGGTCTGGGGCTCTGCAGTTTTAACAGATGTTGTAATAACTATTTATTGGGGGGAATGGGGGTGTGGAACATTACTACACCAGTAACAAAGAATTTGGTGGTCTGACTACTAAGACAATATGAACACATTCTTAGGCAACTGTAAGGGACACCAGCATTCAGTTATCAGCCTGCTTATTTGTGTAACCTTATACATACTTTTTACTCTTTTACTGTAAGTTTTGAATTTTAGCAGTTTGTGGGCTTCTATGGAACCACTTTATATTGTCTTAATCTTCACCTTAGCATCTTCAAATCCCAGACTAGGAGAACACTGAGGGCAGTGGGTGATGTTGAATTATCTGGGATGTTGTATAATGTAGGATTTCTCTTGGCCAATTTCACAGGTGGGTTTTTTTTAGAAACCCACATTGGTGATGGTCCAGTTTCCCCTTCCATCGGGAAAGAGAAATAGGCACCCTTGAGCATTAGATCCCTCTGACCTATTCTAGACATTTATTTCAGGATGAGATGGTGCCCTAGATGTTATGTCTTTCCATGGACTAAAAAGGGACACTAGAGGACTAATTAAAGTGCAGACCCTTGGAGATGCCTACACATAATTGTTGAATTCTGCCCTTTCTGGCAGAACAGATTGTTTGGATTGCTTGTTGTTGCAAGGAACTTTG